CAGGTCGTCTATACATGTTGAACCTTTGCCAACCTAGCCAGCATCACAGATTTAGTTCCTTTCTCTAATTGATTTACTGTACTAAAGTGACATTTGTGCTGGGATGTTTTATTTTGTTGAATACATTTATTTGTACTTTGTTAGAATACAATTCACCTTCTTTCTTTAACCTTCTTTTTTATGTGTCTATTGTAAATAAATTCACATGCATCATTGCCGTATATCCGCATTTTATTATTGTTTGAATACAATAAATCAAAATAATTTAGTTTTAATTTCTTACAAAATTCCCTTTCTCTACAGATTGGCCAACGAATTGATTTATCAAATGTGTATACATTTTATGCAAACATATTAACAATACAATAAGTTTATAGTTAAATCAAATATAATGATATGATAATAGAATTATAAAGTGTCTTGTGTTTGTCCCATTGACCACATTTTGTGAGGGCTTAAAGGCTGAAAATTTACCCGATGGTTAGTATAAAATAGGTATTTGTGACTATGGACACGTTTCTAAATGGACAATGGGTTTATTTATTGGTTGATTATCATGTATGTTACTTTTTATGAAAATGGCGTGTTTGAAATATTAGCTTTACACCTATACGTATACAACAGACTTGATTATATAAACGACCGGCGAAAAAGCTAATCAGGCATCGACACTACGTTTACTTCAACCGAAGATATTATTTGCTATATAAATCAACCAATGACGGCTAACTCTACCTCTAGTCTGGCTTTTTGAGCTAAAAGTAAAGTACAAACTAGCTATAAAGCGTGACTAGTAGCTTATAGACTTATACTGTTAAAGTAGATTTGTAAAAAATAACAAATAGTGTAAATCAAGTTAAGTGATGTATATTGTTAACATACCTATTCATAAAATGCATAATATATAGGGTGTCCCTTAAACAGCCAAACTCCGGGCAATGTTTTAATGCGACAAAATAAAGAGAAAATGAAGAACACGATTTTTTTGTAATCGCTTCGTTGGCTAGAAATATTCCATTTCGTATTTTTTACACAAACATTTTTATCTTTGTGCTCTAACCGATCTTTATGAAACTTGGTATGTATGTATAGGTAGCTATAGTTGGAAAAATTATCATTTTAAAATGACCGCCATTTTAACTTTATAATTAAATTGCTAAAAATGGATTATTTTATTAAAAATTTCAAGTACACTTTTATTTAGAACCTCAAATTTCCAATCAAACGATACCAAGTTAAAAATGATCGAATACAAAACAACTGAGATATCATGATTTTAGTTGTAAAATTAGGTAGCAGAGAATAAGAGTTGGCTAGTCAGTACCTCATTTTACAAATAAAAATCGTGACATTTAAGTTATTTTTTATTTTATCTTTTTGAGCTTGGTGTCGTTTGAGAGTAAATTTAAGTACAAAAAATGGTATCATTGTAATTTTTTAATCAAATCAGTAATTTTTTAATTATTTAAATTAAATATGATTAATACAATAAATATGCCTATTATATAATTTATAAATTCATAATTTATAAAATTAAAAGTTTGATACATTTCAATTATAGTCTAGTAAAATGGGTGCTATTTTGAAATATTGAATTGGATCAAGTTAATATTTATTTTTATGTAGGCATCGGTTCAAAGAACCCTAACATACATTAACTCAAATGTTCGAGAAATTATGTGTTTGTAACATATCAAAAAGATATATAATTTGGTTCACAATGGTACTTTGACATTTTAAAATGTAAAGCAGTTTTCTGTGGATATGTTTCGTTACTTATTATTGGCAAATGTTTGTAAACTGCCTCACTCAGATGCGTCGGGTCACATTTGACATCGCTCTCAAAATATAATTTAGAACTCACTGACGGACATTCACTCAGTTCATAAGCCTAGGTATTTACCAAGGTATTCAATCCTTTAATGATAAGTAAATATTCTCTTACTATTTTAGAAAGATTCCTTGTAAAATTTTGATAATAGTTATTTACAGATTGTTTGGTCAAAAAGTTAGTGTTAAATAATTATATATCAAACTACATGATAATAGATATTTAATTATGTCCATTTGAGGTTCCCAACTCAAACAGTAAAGGCATAAGAGATTGTTGTTGAATGCTCTAGTATTACCATGTAAAAATTACAGTATTTTGTTGATTTAATGACTAAATTTAATTTCATGTCAAAGACCCTTATACAACACCCCAATTTAACATTTGTATCGTAAATAATTATCCCATTAAAATAAAATTATTTGGTACTTTTCTGTTAAAGGGAACATTCATTATTATCGATGATCTTTTTCGATATATCGATATTTTTGTTTTCCGATCCATTACAAATTGACAACTGATCTTGTTTAGGCTAAAATAGACTATTATATGGATTAAGAAATGAAACTGTTCTAAGCTAACCTAACATAACCAACCAAACTTGTTGTACTATTTAAAAATTCCTTTTGATATCAGAAAAGAAAAGGTAAACACGGAATTTTTTAATGTTACACAGTAAGTTTGGTTAGTTATGTTAGGTTATTTTTTTAGAAAGCTCCATTTTATCATTGTTTGTTGATACTGAAAAATATTTACCGTAGTTGTCAGCTGATATGTTTAAATTTGTTAATATCGATATATCGAGAAAAAAATCATCGATAATAATGAATGTTCCCTTTAACAGGAAAGTACCAATTATTTTAGCATTTAAAAATTGAACCAAGTTTAGCTAATATCTACGTCAACTTCAGATAGTTCAGCAGTTTTGTGTCACTGTTCCCCGGCTTGGAACAGTTCCAGACTCACAGGTGTTTCATGTTACCTGAGTACATTGTCTCCAAAGCCATTCCTAATCTTATTTTAACTTCTTTCCGTTTGTTTTATCCCTGGTAAAATTATTGATATAAATTAGGTTTAAGTGAAAACGAATCGATGCTTTTGTAGCATAAAATCACAAGAACTGTTGTATAGTTCTATTGGCACACTTATTTGACACGATAATTAAGAAAAGATCATACGAAAGTTCTCAATTTCTTTAGTAAAAATGTGAATTTGAAACTGGAACCGGCCAATTAGAAATATAAAATATATCGTTACTTTATCAGCTCGTACTAATAAATACTACTTATAATTTTATGAACAGTATTTACTCTTATGCAAAGAAAACTAGTAACTTAAGCAATTGGATAAATTATTTTAAAGTATAATGTTACGTATGAGAAACCTTTCTAATCTACGAAATATCAATTTTAGCTCACAATAATTTCCAGACCCTAACGCAGAAGAGTATGACAAAAAAAACCTGAAAATGAAAATGGGTATTCTTACTTATTCGAGAAGATTCTAGACATTTTTACATTGTTAGATTAAAATATGAAAACGCATAATCGATCTTAAGCTGCTAAGATAACAAATGATTTACCTACATGAGTTGTGTTTCAGAACAAGTGAGCTTTGTTTTACATATTTCCTGCGAGTAACGTGGAAGAGCAAACATAACTTCTCCTTGGTGTTTATCAATTTTAAAAGAGGAAAGTGCAAATAAACATTCGTTGTTTACAAATCATTTGAAGATTGTGAAATGTGTTCTCTTTCTGGGCGGTAACAACAATTTTTCACTCAATTTACAGGAATTTGTAAAAAAATCCATGTTATTTATCAAAATGTAGTATGGTATGATAAATCGAAAATATTAGACCTACAGAGACCAGGAATAGCTATGGGCCTATATACAAATAAACATTATCACTAAAAGCGGAAAACCAATTAAAAACGGAATTATGCTTACTTAATAATGGAATGTTTAAAGGTTGATTGAGATACATTGATAAATTACAAGCAATCATTATTTCAATTCTTTTATTGTTTAACTCGTTGACCCGATTTCATTTAAAACTTTCCAGACTTTTATTACAATCGCAAAACTTGTCAATCGTTTTACCTAATAACTTCTCTCAACCACATAATTTTCTTTTTAAGTCCGCAATGGATTTCAAGTAACTAAAACTTTAAAACTTTGTTAAATGTAAGAGTAGCAACTTCACAAATTAATGAATTGAGGCCTTTCGACATTTAACTTAACAAGAAAATGCTTATAGTAAGACTTATAAGGTTTTACTTATAAAACTTATAAGGCTTCTAATAAGGTTTGTTTTAGTACCGTATAACGGATTTTTGTTTAAAAAGTAATGTACAAGATCCTTAAACATTATTATTTAAATGAGACCTTTAAAATATACATAGAAGTCGAAGCAATTAAGAGAGAAGAGTTCAACTCTATTGCTTTTAGACGACCCTGGATTTTATCAGATAAAATTAAATCGGTATTATTTACCAACAAAAGAGCTTTTAAATTGTTATGCTGAAAATCAATGGTTAGGTTCAGACTATCAGTAAAAGTAGTATAACGGGTATAGTAATCACTAATTCATTATTATCTTTAACCATTACTTTAACACTTCAAAGCCCAGACTCACTTTTACTAGTTTTACCCACGTGTTACTACAAGCTAGCCGTTAATTTTAATAGAGTTATATTTTTTTCAGAATTATATTTGAACTGTGGATAAACAATATAAGAAGTAAATCTCTCTATCGTTCTCTTTCAATATGTAAACATAACTTAAATTAAAACACTTAAATTCGTTACCTGCAAAGATTGAGAGAATCCATTCGACTTCCATTCGATAGGTAGATGGTATTTCAATAGGCATTTTGTCAAGAAGATGGTCAATTTACGTCCCCTTTTAAATTAACAGTTAAATGTAGACTTTCTCCTACATAGCACCAATAGCGCTCAATTACTTTAACTCTCCCAAATACAGCATCTTCACCACCTCGCTGCTGTCTACTCACGTGTTATTATGTGACCTATTGCTATAGGCAAGGTGGTAATTTAATGGGTAATGTCTGTCCGAGTAAGGGCCACTTTAAGTTCCGATTAGAATATAAATAGGGCTTAGGGTAGGGCGGTGCTATCGATTCGACAGAGTGCGCGCGCCCGGTTGTAAGCCTAGTGTGCGCCGCGCCTCGCACAGTAGCGGGAGTGTTGACTGTGCATCGTGAGTGCTTCATCACTGGACATGGATTACACCCGACAATAGTAAGTGGTACTACAGTTTGTACACGTCCTAGAATAGCACTGATAAGACAAGCTAATTTGAAAAGCAACTTGGATAATGTCGTAGAAAAAAATAGATTGACCAATGTGTAAACAAAAGCATGATTTCCGTGAGGATAAGTGGGGTATACGAAATGTAACTTTAAATATACTCGGTGTTGCCTTATTGCCCTAGGAGTGAGCTGCTCTAGTAATATAGCACGGGGATCAGAGCCTGGATGCTCAGTTATAGCTTGTGATAACACAGAAGGCCTGAAGTAATGTCTAAAGCGGTTCCGGGTCGAAGCCTAGTATCCTACAACTATACTTATTTCGTGTATGAATATTTCATTTTCTTTAAGGGACTCTGTTTATTTGAGAACTTGTAACTAATTTCTTTAGAGCACGTATTTGATGCAATAAGTAGTAGTTTATTATACTTTTGAATGAGAAAGTGAAAATAATAAAATGTTTCTAATAATAAATAGTTTTTACAAAACTTTTATATTGGACGGAAAATTTATATTTTTATATGTTTATAAGTAAAAAAACTATTTGACACCCCTTTAACTAACATTTTAAGGTATCGGAGGTCGCGCAAGACGTTTAAAGTTGCACTTTTTAACAGTAAGCAAGACTGGCTGAAGGGGAAGGACATGATCCTAGGGAGCCAAAACCCAACTGGACTGAAGCGTCACGAAACATTAGTATATATATTATTACATATTAAATATTATAACATAACAATATATATATCTTATATTGTTAAATATTAAATATTATAACATAACAATGTATAACTTATATTATTACATTTTATTACAGTTAAACAACAGTTTCTTGTCTGGAGTAGTTTGAGTCAGTTTAAGGCATTTCTAATATGTTAGAAGAAGCAATAAATTCACTGTGATGAAATTGCACTAATTATGATATTGTTTAATTTCTTAAATTCATACGTAAGTACAAAATGACTACTTAACTAATCAACAAAATAATTGACGACTACAACTAACGAAATAAAATAATAGTATACATTGGTACATAATTGGATAACTGAACCTGTAATTAAGATCGGAATATAGCTCAGAACTCCTAATTCCATGCGGTCCAATCAAGCCCTCCGCCCAAAGATATAGCCTTCCGCCTTTTGGTTTTGTCTGATGTTTTAACAGAACGTTTTTGTTTTTTTGTCTGGTTAGTCTAAAACAAAATAATTCAGTCATACAACCGTAATTTACACATGGTGTTGCACAATTTATGTTCCTCAAGAGCTACTGAGCTTGTTTCCCACTTTGAGAAAACAAGTTATCCTCCAAAGCTGCAGAATTTATAGTTTAGGAGAATGTAAGCAAAAGTAAGCATTCAAGTGCAATAGGTAGACAGGTAGGTAATATAGAAGATTCAGGAAATAATGAAATTTAGTTAGTATAATCTAGTGTATTGCATTTACATGAGCCATATAATGTTTCTAAGACTTTTGGCAGCTTCCCGCAAACAGGTTGGGCATAACAATTGACAGTATTAAAAACAAACTATATAATATATCTTTCTTTTGTTTAGTTTATTGGGTAGCTTAATACTTTAAAGCTTTCTCCTCACTGTATACTTGTTAACACAGGAAAAGGAATTTGACATGCAATACCTTGTTTGAGGCGCATGTTCGGAACCATATTCTTTATTTTGCTTTGTATGATTGAAACTTAACAAATTACATAATACATTGGTTTAACTAATCAACTCATATTATGTTTTGGATTGGCAAAAAAAAAAAAAAATAGTTGATCTGTTGCTAAAAAATTATTATAACATGCGTAAAATTTTCATTTCTTAAGACCTTGTGACAATTGAGTAAACTGAAGCAGCAAATTTTAAATGTTTGCTTGAATAGCAATTTTCATACCATTTAACGATTAAAACTTCGTATATCCTGGTTTAAAAATACAAATGGGCAACAAAGAGCGATCATATTGAAATAGGATCCTCGTATGCCAACATATCAGGTTAGAAATATATAGTTTTATTAAAAAAAAAATATTAAAAAGCATTTTATAAACACTATAACTCTATAAATCATTTTACACTATAGGCTTAGATAACACGAAAAAATACTAAAGAAGTTTTTAAAAATACATGTTACATTTCTTTACATACACAAAATACTACTGAGCAATATTGGTATCTGAAAAGGCACAAAAACTAATTAAACGGAAATAAATATATTGCGTTGGTAAATTTGAATTGTATTAATTCTTTAATAAAATGAAAGCAACGGTTTATAATTTAAAAAAGCAAAACACAGGCGCATTTACTAAGCTTTCTCACTTCTTTGAATATGATATATTTAATCTTTTAACAAAACGAAAGAGTTCATTTTTGTAATATTTTATTATGTTGTCATAAAAAGAATTTTTAGAACGTGTTACTTAGCTTTGTCAAACAGAAACAATATGACTCATTTTCTGAATTTCGCATAAATTGTTTTTGATAAGCCTAGGTAAGACTTGTGATAAAACGTATGTTATGAAAAGTTACAAAAGTCTGAGAACCGTTGAGATACAATTAATGATGAATCTTAATAATTAAAAGGTCATATAAAAGGACGTAGCGTTAACATCTTTCTAGGTAGGCACCTGAGAATACACAAAGGTCTTTAAACTCATTTAATTTATGACTGTTCAAGAATAACAATCAATTGTAAGGGTATAGTTCCTATATTAGTATACGCCATTATTTTCATAACTTTATAATTTAAGAAGTAATAGGAGAAGGAATACTTAATACTATGTTAAATAGAATTAAATAAATTTTTTTAATACAATGTAAAATTTACTTCATGCTAATACCTTATGTTAAATTGAATCTATATTCACTGATAACTTAATAATGATTGTTTAACAAAATAACACAACAAAATCTATTATAAAATAACAAAAGTATTTTTATTTAGACTGGGTTTGGTTTGAAATATACAAAGGTTTAATATCGCGAATACAATAGAACTGTATCAGGCCCGGCCGTCCGCCTGTGTTCATATTAACGCCCCAGGAAATATACTCTCTGCGAAAACACCGAGCAGAGAAAAAGTTTAAATAACTCGAACATGTTTTTAAATATTTTTTTCTTCATACCACCAGTTAAAAAACAATAATTAATATCTGCACTATTTTTTATGTTACGTTAAGATGTTTACATTGGTAATGTGTTAAGGTTTTTGTTATTGTTTCACTAAGAAGATCTCGATGTAAAAATACCTAAAAGAGGTTGTCACATTGTTTTTTGGTTAGAAAATCCTAGTATGTAGGTTAATTATTTTTTTGTCGAATTTTGTTAACATTATTTAGTTCAAACAGCTAAATTTTAACTTCATTGAATAATTAAAATTAATTTGACAGTTTGTTTTCAGAAACTCAGTCTATATTAATTCCAAAATACTTTTTGACTAAAATTAACTATCATCATAGCAGTTTCTTAGGGTATAACAGTAATGTATTTGAGTGAATTGTAGGCTTATTGTTTAAAATGTATGTTGTATTTATCAATGTTTTTTGTTTCATTATCTATAAAATTAAACTTTTATTTTGAGATGGGGTTGTAGTTTACGATCCGAATATTGCCTTTATTTCTAAAAACATATTTTTAATTCCAAATATGAAACTAAAACTAATGGTATATTCCATCTATTTCTAATAATGCTTCCTGTTAAAAACTCTTCTTTTCATCAGGCAGTTAAGCTTTTTTTTTTTTAAAAAGTATATCAAATCTTTGATAAATTTATTTGGGTGTTTGTCAAAACAGACAAAATTAATGCAGAAAGGAAGGCACCACTTATAGAAGGATAAATTTAGACCATGGATAAAATTAACCACCTCTCTTTATTTAGTTCTCAATAAACTATTGAAATTTCTTTTAATTTGAGCTTGTTTAGTTATAAAGTGCTTTGCATACTAGCATGTTAGTTTTTTTGTTAATACTCATTGGACGCCTCTTGTACTTTGTTGGGTTCGAAAATTTCCAAAAACTCATGACAGTTCATTTTATTAGGTTGAAATACAGTTAAAGGATAGTATTGAGGTACATTCTTATCTTTTCTTTGTTATAACATTATCTATTGTTGTGATGCAGCTATTTTATACAGACAATACAGCAAAATAAGGTACCGCAAATTTGGATTAAGCCACGCAATGGATGACATAAACAGCAAATGCATTTGTAAAAGGGTGTCCCAGTAAGAACGCCGGATTTGAGGAGCGTCTTATCCTTATCTGTATATCAATAGGAATTCCCAAATTATAGGCAATGTTATCAGTATTAGGTCCCATTTGTAGTCATGAATCGCTACACGACGGAATAACGCGTGGTCATAGTTAAAGTGCATTACAAGTACGGAAGCTGCGCGCTATTTACGGCCGGGACAATGCACCAAATGATCCATCTGTCCGAAGATTGATTTATAAGTTCGAATAAATTGGCTCAGTTCTATTTTGGGGATATTTAAAGTCGCTTGTTTTCGCCAATAACCCTCAAACAATCCAAGACTTGAAGGAGGAAATGATTCGTGCCATTAATGGAATTCAACTGGAAGTGTGTGAAAAAGTGATGGAAAACTTTGTCAAGAGATGTCGAGCTTGTCAGTATTCAGCAGGTTGGCACTTACAAGACATAATACTCAATTACTAATCGGAGATACTATGCTTTAAGATTCATGTTTCATATTGTAAATTTAGCGAGAAAATATATGGTTTGTTAACATTTCAAATCCGGCGTTCTTATTGGGACACCCTTTATATTAAACTGAAACAAACTGGCTGATATTGCCCACTGGGGGTAAGCAATAATGACGGCTCAATCAGTTGGAACATTTCAACTCAAACGAACACAGGCAAGATTTAATGGTTCTCTCTGAACCGAATTATCATTGCTTATCCATAGAAACATAATACGAAACTATTATGAATTACTTCACATAAAGGTCACATTCAACTTCAGTGCCTACATGTTAAATA